ATGTGATACCACCTTTCCAAAGTTTTGTCTTGGTCATTCAGAGGGCTCCTACTCTAGTGAGAGAAAGCCTTGAAGTTAGAGGAGAGAGACTAGATTTTTTAAAATTTTTTTTTAACTTCTGTTCTCCTGATGTCTTCTGGAGAAACTTCTTTATCAGCTCGAGAAGAAATAAACTTCTTATCAGCTCAGGCAGAATGCTGCACCACAATATGATAAGCCTTGCTGTACATATACAATAAAGTTTAGGTTGAATTTACACCCTTTGCGACTGTGTGGGGTTTTTGTGGGTTTCTTTGAAAAAAGATTGCAATTTAATAGCGCTATTCCCATCACTTCTGAACTTGTTTAGAGCTCCTGGAACATTTCCTCCTTCACACTCTTATCAAAAAACAGTTCGAATCTGGCTAACTACTTAGCACTAACAGCATTGGTGTAGAGATTAAGTGACAGCTAATTAGTTGCTTTCCTGACTTGATTGTCTGCCTCTGTGGCATGGTGTGACAGGCTCTTATTTAGGCTCATGTTTACAATCCGTAAACATGTTCTGTTACCTGTAAGCCATATCTTGACATTTATATGAAACCCATGAGTTTCTAGTGTACAATTCTGATATTTATTTATTTTTAAATCTAGGTTACATTTCCCATTTCTTCAGAGCATTGAGGTACTACTGAATAAATGCCATAGTGCCAAAAGTCAACGCACTCTCCAGAAAAGCCCAGGCATCTTTAGTGACATCTCTGAGGGATGTCTCTGTTCAAGCATTTTGTAGATTTTTCCCACGTGGAGATTATCTACCTTCCTTCCCTGCCCACCTGTCCGTTATGCCCATAGTGCAGCATCTGGGTACGATGCATAATTACATTGAGGAGTTTTAGAGTCTGACTTCCTACAACTGCAGATATTGCTTGGAGTCGGCCAGTGTGGGAATGAGGTGTGGAAATCAACTGTTAACTGAATAAAAATGGAGATAGTTTAATAGTAACTGAAAATTCTTTGAAATGTCCTTTCTGTGGGCATGTTTGCAACTAGCCCTCTCTTGACCAAAAAGATTGGGATATAGAAATGGGAGAAGTACATTTCACATTATCTGCTACTTGTTGCTGTGGCAACTTAGATGCATAATTTTAAAGTCAAGCATTTCTCAGCTTTTGGGATAGATAACATGTTGTGTCTTCTTGCTATTTCAGGTTGAGAAATAGGATTATGATTCATCAAGTTCTTATAACTATCACACGTTCACTTGAAATATAATGTATGTTGCATGTTATGTTTGTGAAACAGAAGAACTTATAAATTAGTAAAAAAGGTGATCTCTAATTGCTCTGGAATGCATCATAAAGGAAGGGTTTGCTATTACAACAAAAGTTATAGTCTGTGTTAGTAGAACTTGGGTGAATAGTTTAATGCATTGGGAATTCTTGACAACAGATGGATGAAGACCTGCCACTTTAAAAACTCCCTTGCCTTTAACTGCTTTCTAACTCCAGTAGTCAAAAGCTGTTAAGCTTTAAGTGCTCTGTCATATTTGTGGGCTTTTATAGCAGAGTAGAGCAGGCAGCAGTGATGATGGAAAACGATGGTAGGTAGACTTAAAATACTATAAAGCATAGAGACAATTGTATGTAATGCCTGGAATTGAAACCTTTTTGAATGAAATGATTGGCCATATGTGCCACCCTTATGGACCCTGTAAGAAGAAGAGAATAAACGTACCCTATTGCTAACTGTGCATGAAATTGCAGTGTTAGAAGATATTGACCAGATGTTTCAATCTCAACAAATAGCTTGTTATGTGACTGAGTGAAAATCTCTCTGCTGCTTTGATCACATACACCTTAAAGGAAGAAGTAATTTAATAGAGGCTGTCAAAGTTCATCATTGTCAATAAACTTTGACTTGACCTTTGCCATCTGTTTTTGATACTATTGCTGATAGAAGCTGATAGGCAGCTGTTTACAGTTTGTGCTTTATGAATTCTGTGCTGCCAGACGATGAAAGAAGTCTCTTCATTTGTGGATTTTTTGCTGTCATTCTGAGTGTGGGTGTATTCATTGAGACTGCACATCATCTAGCAGGGGAGCGAGAGTGACATATGCATGCATTTTGAAAAGGTTCTAGGTATGCAAAATCATATGTGAAATATTCTAAAATGATATTGTTGCAAAGTGACAGCTTCACTTATAGGTTAATACTTAAATACACAGACAATGTTTTACACTGGAGAATTTTAAGGCATTTTTAAAATGCTTATCAGTCTTCCCTAGATCTCTGAAGTGAGTGCTAATTCTTTACAGGTAGAGTAGGCTGAGGCATGGTTAACAGTAGTGTACAATCACCTAATGAGTCTGTCTTACTGCACCCAAGTATGATGTTCCATTTTCATGTTGTTAATATGCTTTCATTGACAGCTTAACACCACAGCTGCTAGCCACCAAGTAACAAGACTTTTTTGTGTTGTACTTTATTTGCCACTTTGCCACATTTCATACACAGTGTTCAACAAGGAAGTTAGTATCTTTGAGTTCTTTTACTGATAAAGATACTCTTAAACCTTACCTGGAACAAAACTTTGTTATATTAGTGAATTTCTTAATAAACAGTTGTATACACTGAAACAGCTGTGGAAGAGTCCCAAGTAAACCTGGAATTCTTACCATTATGATACTCTTCATGTAACTGTCATCTGAGTGATGAATAACTGGTCCTGCTTTGTAGGTGTATCATCTTTTACCTGGTTTTGAGAAGGGACCGCATTAATGTGGAAAGGGAAAGGGAGTGATGTATACATCAAACAATGAGGAGGTGGTTGATGCCTCAGGTTCTGGTGCTTCAAATGGGGAAGGGACACAAAGCCAGCTGCAGTCTCAGTTATGTGCCTTGTAAAGTCTTGCAGGAGACATTTCTGCCTTTGGCCTCAGGTATCTTGGAATTAGGTGCTTAGACTGGCCAATATTTAAGGGGTGCAGTAAAAGAGAATACTAGGTTTTGGCCACATTGAAACTTTGGAATATAGCTACTACATGTTTCATTACAGAAAATATGCTTGTATTTCCTTGTACAGCAAGAAGCTTACAAACTAGACCAAAAATAAAACAGTAGACAAGCAGATAAAAAGCAAGAGGGAAAGAATAGGAAATGGAATACAAAAGAATAGCAGCAGTGAAAATAGCTACTTGGATTAGAGACTTTAAGAGGCAGTTTGTGTTTTTAAATGTAGAAGTGAGTGAAGTACTGCCCCTGGATGATTAACGTTTTGATAGAGATCTTAATTTGTAAAGCTATAGCAAAACACAACTTGTGGCGCCACACTAAAACTAATAGATATTCTTATGCAAAGATTTGGATAGTACGTGTTGAACGTAGATTTAGATACTGGTCTCAGGGCAAGGCTTTAGCTAGTCTTTTCCTTTAAAAAATATTATCTCTTTTATCTCATTTGACTGGAAGTTGCTTGAGGGTGTTGTCATGCATTTTAACAATATCACTTCCTCATGCAAGATTTGGCAGCTTCAGCTAATGGTGGAAGAATTATTGTACAGGACATGGGGCTCCTTTTTGCAAGCCTGCTTTTATAAAGATAAGCTTATTTTTTCCTTTTCCATTTTTCTCTTATGTGGCCATTACGTGATAATAGCTGTTGCAATCTTTAAATGTTGATTTGAATGAAAAAAAAGAAAAAGGAAAAAAGATTGTAAAGGTATTGGGACAAAACTATAGTGTCTCATCTGTTTTACAGGGTCTAGATGCTGTAGTCTCATAACAATGGTTCTGGAGTAGGTATACTGGGTCTGCTTGGGATGGAGTTAACTTTCTTTATTAGCAGCCCATATGGTGCTGTGTTTTAGGTTTGTCACCAAAAGTGTTGTTTATCACCGCAGTGTTTTAGCTATTGCTGAACAGTGCTTGCACAGCATCAAGGCCTTCTCTGTTGTTTCACTCTGCTGCCCCAGAAAGTAGACTGCAGGGTGGGAAAGGGGTTGGGAAGGGACACAGCCAGGACAGCTGACCCCAACTGATCAAAGAGATAGTACAGGCCAGGTGGAATGTGGTCAGCAATAAAACTGTTGTGGGCAGGGAGGTTAGGTGGGAGTTTTTCCAAGATAGCCATGGCTCAGAGGCTGGCTGGGCACTGGTCTGCTGGTAGGAGGTGATGAATGATTGCCTTTGTATCATTTCATCTTGACCCACACATTTTTCTTCTCAGTGTTGCACTTCCAGTTCTCTCCTCTATCCCCTCAGGAGGGAGGATTGAGAGGGTGACTGGGTAGGGGCTTAGCTCCTGGCTGGAGTTAACCCATCACGGTAGGGATTTTGAATGATATATGTGTAATGGTAACAGAATATTGCATTCCAGTTGTGCTTGAGGTGTATGACATCATTCACAAGAAATATGTGAGCTCACTTGGAACAGTGACACTAATGTCTTCTTTTAGGATTGTTTTTTGTTTTGCAAATTGTCAGGTTCTTGTGTTTTTAAGATATATGTAATGATTTAGGTTTTAATCCCACTTTTTCTCATTTTATCTGGTTTTCTAAGATGAGGTGTGATTTATTTTCTTTTAGCATCTAAAATATTCCTGAAAATATTCATAAGAGCTTTTTAATGGACTGTGTATATAATTGGTGATGGGACATATTATGGGGGTACAACAGACTGGTACCTTCCTAAAAGTGTATGGGCACATTCTAAAATTCAGAATATAAAAATAAGAGACGCTCCAAATAGCACTGTATAAAAAGAAGCCATTTCTGTTCTAATTTACTGAAAAAAATGCTTCACGAGTAGTTGCTAACATTGTTTAGTTTAGATTTTAGCAAGCATGTTAAGTCTTAGCTAATTTTAGGTCTTTGGAGTTCTCTCCTCTGTGAGCTGCAATTTAAAATAAGATCAGATTTGACAGATCATGCAGAGAAGAGTCCAGCTTCAAATAATGCACTTGAGATGTCTGTATTCAGTGTTAATGAGTTTTGAAGATCCTTCATTGCAAAGGAGCATAATGCTTCCTGTTGTGTTGTCAGTTCCTAGGCATTTAGGATTCAAGTCTACAACTGAAAACTCCTATGTGCGGAAGGTATGTCAGTCTAAGCAAAGCTTCGTATGCTTTGGCATTGTTAGTTTAGGATGACTGACAGATGTGGAAATGAAAATGCACTACTGGCTGCAGCTTTAAAAAAGAATCCAGGAGCTAAGGAGTTCAGATGGAGAACGCTGTGGGACTGATAGCGAGAGCCTTTATCAGCCTCCTTGGTCTGATTGTCGATGTTGTCCAGTTAACAGTGGCACTTACAACAAAGCATAGAGACAGAGTAAAAGGAAATAATTTCTGAAGGATCTTTGTTTGAGTCAGAGGGCTATAAAGATGTCTTAAGCTTCATCAGTATGATGTTTCTTTTTAAGTCTTATAGGACTGTGTACTGAGACCTAGCGGCAGCAAACTTTCTTTTTGCAGGGAGGTATCTTTACAACTGAAGATAGTGAGGTAAATTAGATCAACTATTTAGTTGTGCTGCTTTTTGCCTTTCAAGTAGAGGTCCTTCTCTACAGTGAACTTAGCAGGAACAGCAGAGAAAAGCTTTAAATGCAGGTCAAGTGGTGTGATATGGGATAGTGGACTCTGCTCCGGTGGCAGAAGCATGGCATTCTCAGGCTAAATAGGATAAACTTGGGAAATACAAATCAAAGAACTCAGTTCTCTCCCTTTCTTTCTTTAATTCTTTAAGACCACTGATTTTCTTTCACATAGTATGAAGGAGCATTTTTTTATTTTTATTTTTTTGGGTGTAAGGGACCATTCAGGTAACTCTGTCATCTTGTCTTGAATATCGTCCTCAAAAGATAGCACTGAGTAACCAATCAAAGTCAAGTCCCTTCTAGTGTTGGAAGAAGTGCTTCTAGAAGTACTTCTGTAACTCAGAGGAAACGTTGTTTCCAAAGCTGTTTACTAATTGGACAAAAGTGGGAGAAAGGTGTACCATGTCTTCGAGTCTGAGGATGTGAGACAGTGGGACATGGTTGACTACAAGTAGTCTCGCAAAGTCACAGCTGAGTCTGAAGAAGTTTTACTTTGTTACTAAGTTTTCTTGGCATCTCAACATCTTGCAAGAAAAGATGATGCTGTTGTCTGCAATTGCCACCTACTCCCTGGAACACAAAGGTTCTTACACTTCTCTGATAGCTAAAGCATGCCAAAGTGTTCGCCCTGTTAATTCTGATCATGAAAAAACACTTGAACAAGATACCCCTGCTACTGTGAGCCCAAGTTAGCCTCATGAAAATAAGGAGAGAAGCATTCTGTCAGTCTCTAGTGTATCCTTGAGCGGCCAAGGATTGGCCGCTTTTGGAAATGCTGGCTTCAGTATTTGATCATAAGGAATAATGTGCCTGTAGGGATAGGGTAAGCTGATACTAGATGTTTATTGAAATCAGCCTCATTTTAAGACAGTTATGCTAATGGCAAGAAATAAATTTTTTAAGAATGTTAATATTTGCTTTTAATTTACCAGGGTGCATATAACAAAATGTAAGGAAAATGCAATCTGTTTAACTTGAGAGAACATCTGGACCGTGTTCTATTTCCCATGCTGCTTCCGCTGGCACGGATGCTTATCCCAACTGGTCAGGGCCTGTCCTTGGGTATACCTGATGTCCAAGCTGCGTTGACAGAGAAAACTTAGGAATGGAGAAACACATTATAGAAACCACTCTAGATTTTGAGTTTCCTTTGTGGTATCCCACTCCTGAGGCTGTCTTGTTCCTCATGATAAGTTCCTACTTTTGACACTTCTGTCTTTGGGCCATTAGCAGCATCAGATTCCCTTGGGTGATGGTGAGGATTCATGGTGTGGCCAGGTGCCAACCTCTCCTGACCAGGTTGTCAATACAGTTAGTTAATAGCTGCCTCACTGCCTAGCCAAACCCTAGATAATTAACTCATTATGCCAGTGCCTGCTGAGCTGGGTCATTTTCCGTTTCTGTCTAGAGTCTTTCTCATGCAATTAAATCTAGTATTCCACATAAAACTATAAAATGAATTTGCAGTTTATATAACCATATAGCCGGCATTAATGTGTGCAGTTTGTTATTGGCAGTCATTTGATATTGGGTATAATGTTGCATGACTGCCTCATGGTGATAAATGTCTTGTGATGGCTGAGACCCTCCCACCCTCCCCTTCCCATTTAGAGTGTTTTAGCCAAAATGTTGCTAGTAACAACGATGACAACGGTGTGTGAAGTAGCCCGTAGAAGCCTGTTTTTTCCATATCAGGTTATTCAAAATTAAACTCCAGCACAGGGTCAAATTTTTTAAAAAGTGCTCCAGAGTCTAACTTGAAGATGTTATTTTCTCTCTTGTTTTTTCACACATATACAAAAAATGCCTGCTGTGACTCATTCCAGTAGGTGCAGCTTCAATGGTATACCACAGAGATATTTCTAGGGTTCAGTTTCAGGAAGTTTGTAATGTGATGTCTGTTTTTTGCCTTTACTAATATGTAGCCTTTTCGCTGAGTAAAGGAGGAACAGTTTGGAGGAGTTATGCAACTCCTTACCGCCATTATTGTGGGAATATGTAGAGATAATTCCAAGAAGCTGGGAGTATTTGTAACCAGAGATCTGTGATGAGAGGAGCTTTCCAGAACACAGCTGAACTACTTTTGCATCTTCCTCAGTGTTGCTTAACTTAGCTCAGATATTCAAATGAAAAGAATATCAATATAGCGGGAATATTCCCCCACCACATAATACGTGTTTTTCCAATAATCTGGAGTATGAGTAGAACCACTGCCTGTGGAAGAAACGGTCAGCACAATATACAGAGGTTCATCTCAGGAAATACTAGATTGTGACTTCTGATTCTCAAGAATAACTTTACTTACATTTCAAGTAAGGATTGTGACAGTTACACATGGCATGTATCACTGAATTCAAACTGAGTTTCTGCCAATAGCCAAAACTGTGATACTTGAACAGAAAGTCTTTTTTCAGAGATGTATGTAAGTATTACTTACTACTGCTCCAAATGTTGTCAGACTTTATATTTAAAGGATGGAAAAGTTATGTAATTTGATAAAATGTCGTAAGCCTAAGGTGCAGTTTGAGGTTTTATGTTTTTTGAAAAATTATTGAGGTTTGGTGCCTGGATAAATGCTGTTCATAGTGATCTCTATTAATTCTTGTTATTTGTGAGAGTAAGGCATGTTTTTCAACGTGGGACACAAGGCTTCAGGTACTTCTGTTCTTATTGGTGTGGAAATTGGTTCCGTATTTGCTTACAGTAGATCACAACATCTTTAGTCTTGTTGAATAATCTGTTCTACCTAACCATACCTCCAAATGTGAAAGATTACTGTTCCTAAGACATCTTAAATGAACACTGTGCAAGTGTGTATAATGTATGTGCAAACGTGTGTAAAATACAGGGGTATCGTAGGTAATTCTCTTGTTAGGGGTTTTCTTATTTTATATTAATTTAGAGTGATAGGGAATAGATTAGCAGAGCATATGTAGTGTGCATTTCATGAATGAGAGACGGAACGCTGCCACCATCTGATGACACAATCTTTTTTTGTCCTTAAACTTTATATATATTAAATTGCTGCAGAAAAGAGGCCTTGCAACTTCTGTCCACCTTTGCCTTATTAATGAAGACTTCTACATGACTAAACATTTTTCTTTTTTTTTTTTTTTCCTACTTCCCCTGGAGATGGAATTAACAGAGATGTGACTAAGCATGTATTTGCAACTAAGTTACTTGACCTTTTTACAACCCACAGCCACCACTAATGCTGCTTTGTAATGGAGACATTATCATTTATTTAAATCTTGATTAGGAAACAATTATAAGTAGGGTTTTAGTATAGCAGTAAATTGTTGTAGCCTTTAATTCATACTATAGATCGAGTGGATAAGCTTACCGACTGTAATTAGAGTGAATTATAATGACTTCAGTTGGTTGACTCACCACCAGCAGAGTAGGGCCTATGATTGGTTCTTCACATTTATTTTTTTAGTTCACTCTTGATTTTATGTTGCTGCTAAATGCTATTTTTAACTTAGTACAAAATGGAGTTACATTTACAGTTAAATGATACATATTTTGTATTAATAAAAGAGGACCTTTATGAAACAACCTGGCACCTTAGCAACACTGTGCAGCTACGCTCTTTCTTTACAATTCAAGTGACAGAACTGCTCTTAGTAAAGTTGGAGATAGATATTTTTGTGTGTGGTTTAACAATGTAAATAGAGAGCATTTCCTTTTTTACATATAATTAAATGGTAGACACAAATGGTTATTTTCAGTACGATTTAACTTTTATGTATATTGTGAATGTTGCACAATGTTTCTTAGGTTTCTCAGATGTACTGTTTTCCTTATGTTCTATCTCTCTGGTTTGGAGGGGGGTTTGTTTTTTTGTTTCTTTTTTCTTTTCTACAAATTTTCTTTAAAGATACCATATGTTGCTTGACTAAACGCAAGTATAGGGGCATCTCCTTTGAGCAAGGGAACTTCTTTTGAAATACCTTGTAAAAACATACTTATCTACTTCATTTGATAGTGAACTGCATGTATCTGAGTTTTACATTAGGTATTAAACACTCAGTGGGATTATTAAGGGTAAATTTTTTATTCTTTGCTGAGCTTCCCTCCCTTGATGTACCAGATGGTTTTTACTTCAGGCATAGAAGTGTTCTGTATGTCACAGTGCTCTGTAGGCACAGAATTAAATATGGTAAGTAGAGAGAAAAAAATGGCAAAAAATAATATAACAGGCATGCTAACTTTGTATTTGGTTTTGTTTTTTTTTCTCCCTGTCAACCTGCAGTGGATGATTCAGAGCCCTTACAAAGCTGCAACTTTCTTTGGGTGCATTGGCAAAGATAAATTTGGAGAGATCTTAAAGAAGAAGGCTGAGGAAGCTCATGTGGATGCCCATTACTATGAGCAGAGTGAAGAACCAACAGGAACCTGTGCTGCCTGCATCACTAGTGATAACAGGTCAGGGGCCTTTGATATTTTCCTAAGATATAAATGCAATCAGCATAGTGTGTGGAGCCTAATTTGTTTGGAATATTTGGCCTTGAAAAAATGAAAGTATGAGCACTGGTTTGAGACAACACAGGACTGCCTGGCTCATAGTATGGGACTGGGCGGTATTAATATACCTTTAGAGAACAGCAGTTGTATTATGGCAGAAAAGTGTGAGATAATAACAAACTACTTCTTTCAGAACTTCATAGCTTCCAGTTGCTCTGGAGAGAGAAAATATGTGGGAGACAAAAGTTGGTTAACAAGTATGTTTATGTAGCCTATGTAAAAGCTGATTGACGTGTAAGGCATATACTTGATTTGCAAATGAGGAATATACTTCAGGTGATAATGTGTTTAAAGAGAATACATAATAGCATATAGCCTGATTGAAAGGGTTAATTTGATTTTATATGAGGAAGAAAAAAGTGATTTTTTTTTTTGCTGTCGCAGTTTATAAGAAGTTCATCTAATAACTGTAATTCTGTATCTACCTCTTAACAAATTCTTCTCAATTTTGTGTTTCATGTTTTCACTTGCTACATTTTTATATGGTCTCTGTATATATTAAAAAATCACTTCTCCAGAACTCTATTTAACTTTTCTTATATTTGTAGACTATGAACAGTGGTCTTTGTGGTATTTTGTATGGTTTTAGAGCATTCCATAAGTAAGAATTTATAGAGTGATTTATTTTGGGTATTGTAATAAAATTAATAGAAACAAGAATTTCAGAAAGAGACAATGAAGACAATAGGCATTTATCTTGAGCCATGGCCCTTTCACTTTCTTCTTTGTCCCTCCACCCACAACATTTGTACTTACATACTACTTCTTTACTGATTACCTCCCGATGATTTTTTTTTTTTTTTTTAAAGGTTTCAAAACCAGCCACTCAGGTCTGCCTTAATCTGGAGATGTTACCAGCACACACCAACCCTCCCTGATTTCTGCCAATATCTAATTTTTTTGACACTAGATATGGAAACAATAATGAAAATGGTGTCAGTTACCCTGAAGAATATTTTCTATTTGGCTCTGAATAAGAGCCAAACATCTGTCATCCTTTCTGGTTTCTCTCTGTGGCTTCCAGTGCCACTGATCCTGAGGAACTGTTCTTTCCCTTTCAAAGCAGTATCAGGAGTTAGCAGAAGTTTTTACAGTAAGATAGCAGTCCCTAATTAAAATCCACACCAAACTTCCTGAGAAGTGGGTGAATGTTTTGGGTAGAATTAAAAAAAGCAGTAGGCAGCAACGTGAACTGAACTGAGAGTCAGAGGAGGGAGAATTTTCCATATAACGTGTAGAACCCTAGAACAATTTTGGTTAGAGTGGATATCTAGAGCAGGACCAGCTTTGAAGTTAAATCAGATTTTTCAGTGCCTTTTCCAGCTGGGTTTTCAATATCTCCAAGGATGGAGGTTGCACAACCTCTCTGGGCAATCTGTTTGTATTTGACCACTCTTCATAGGAGAAATTCTTTTGATCATACCCAGTTGGGATTTTCCTCATTCCAATTTGTGTCTGTTCCCTTCTGTGTCCAAGAATAGTCTGGCTCCATCTTATCTGTCAACTTTCATTAGATATTCAAAGACAGCAGGAAGGTCTCCCCTTAGGTACCTCCTCTTAAGGCACAGCCAAGCCTTTCTTCATTTAAGTGTTCCAGCCCCCTAATATTCTTGATGGCCCACTGCTGGACTCACTGCATTATGTCAGTGTCTTCCCTGTAATGGAAACCTCAGAGCTGGACACAGAACTCCAAATGAGGTCTGGAGAACAGCACAGAGATTTTTCCTCTGTGCTGAATATATAACTTACTTTGTCCTTCTGGCTGCGTGCTTGCTCATGTACACCAGAATGTGATTAACCTTCTCTGGGTGCATTGCTGACTCGTGTTCCAAGCCTGGTCCACCAGCACCTCCAGGTCCGTTTCTGCAAAGCTGTGTTGTATCCTGTCAGCATTCAGCCTATATTGTTGCATGGGAGTTATGGCATCCTAGTTGCATGACTTTGCATTTGCCTTCAAGTTTTCTGCTAGCCCAATTCTCCAGGCTGTTAAAGATCCACTGAATGACAGACAACCCTGTCCTCCAGTTTATCAACTTGTCCCTCCCAATTTAATGTCATGCATAATGTCTTACTCTCAGGAATGAGTGTACATACTCAGTGGAGGAAGGAAGTTCATTCATCTTCATCTGGAGTTTTGACATTAATTATGTCTACAGACTTCCCCCTTCATCTCCAGGATCCATATTCAGTTTTTCAAAGGGAAGACAAGCAATAAAGATGTTTAAGCTCTGTGATGCTCTCTCTTCGGTCACATAGTGTCTGTGTACGCCTCCTGTAGCGATCACCATTTCCTAGATAACATGATGGGAAACTGAAGTCAAGACTGTCAGTAGACATACACCATGAATTCATGAAAAATATGTGCATCTTTTGTGGTGTATCTCAATGAAATTTAAAAGTTTAGGTAAATTTATTCATAAAATGTCCACAAGTACTTCTTCAAGTTAAGAATAAGCTGTAAATAATAATAAATCATAATAAATAATACATAAGCTGTATTTTTTGTTTGCTAACATAAAACACTTTTCTCTCTTAATATCAAATGTTTGCTCAAATACTAGAAACAGTGGCTTCATCTGAACTGCTGTTTTAGAGCATTCTTGAGAGTGTGCAGGAAGTACAAGAGACTTAATTCCCTCCTCAGGAGATAGAAAAAAATGGCCGATGGTTGCTGCTAAAGGCTTTGTTGTGCAGTGCCCCCTCTTCTAGTGAGAGTAATTTTATTCTCAATCTTTAAGTACCCTCAGATTTGTTTCTTGGTTTTCAGCATTTTCTATATTTGTAAGAATCACTTCAACCTGGCCCCAGTTGATAAATCTATTGATTAATCTCTTGTCCATTAATCTAGATACGGGCTAACTTCCTTCTTCAGGTAATTCAGCTTTCTTGTTTCTTTTGGAGGAGCTGGCTAATAGCACTCGTGGTTTTCCCAGTAAGTGGCTGTGTATATTTGTTCCAGATGTCCTGATGTGAATGTTTCTTGTTTCTGCTAAGTGTGTCTGGCTTTTTGCAGGAAAGGGTTCTGAGCTAATTCATGATTACCACTCTGAATTCTCTAGCTTAGCAATACTAATACGCTTTTCTCAGAGCTTTTCAAGAAAATCCTAACACATGATTAAACTCTAAAGTAGTACCTACACTCTGTCATAATCTATGACTTTGATTTGTGCATTCTGTTCAGAAATACCCACATGCACAGAGTCTCCATTAGGTTGTTTGGTTTGAAGCACTCTGTCTGTCTCCAAATACCATATTTCACTGAAAAAACATCTACCTTCTCTGTGTCCCACATGTTGAACTTAGTGCTGTTAGACTTACAGTTTTAATCTGGAAAAGCTTGGTGCTTTGTCTTCGGTGTAACAATCTTTTATTACACATCACGTGCAGAGCATCTCTACAGTTGGATGGAGCCGCAGAGACTAGGTTTACAGTTTCAGGGGCATGTGGTAAGTGAAAGGAAACATATAGAGAGTCTTTGCTTTGTTTTCTGGAACATAATTGCTTTTCACTTAGCAATGTACGTAGACAGACAAGATTTTTCCAGCTAGGTCCTTGATGGATATTTAGGGTTTGCCAAAACGGAAAGATTTAATTTTATTTTTAAATTTGGTTTACAGAAAATTATCATAGTTATGCACATGTCTGTCTTGGATTTGCTTGGTTGTCTGGTGGATTTCTTGTCATTGAAATGATAGTATCCATGAAGAATGAAACTTCTTGCCCTGTTACTTGTACTGCTACAGAGGGTTGGTCTATTTGTTTATAAATTATTATTTTTTTAATTTTCCAAATTCACATTAGTTCTTATTGCCTTTAGGCTTTAGAATTAAAGAGATAAACCCCAAGAATATTCCTAGGATGAAATGACACAGAACTGTTCTATGTATTTTGATTTATTCAGAAAAAGTTAGCCTAACTTTTTATTTTTATATACTTGTTCTGTTTAACTTACAGGGATTGTGACTGATGAGTGCTTCAGGAAATTTACAGGGAGACTTGGTTGCTGTCTTCATGAGAGATTATTTGGGGCTTTTGTTTTTATTGAATAGGACAAAGAGAAATGGTGATAGCAGAAATTAGTGTTTTGAGGTGGAATAAATTGTCAAGAATTTCCAGTTTGCTTGCCTCCTAATACTTGCACATGGTACCCAGCCTGGAGGCAGAAGCGTAACTCAGTAGAAGCAGATTAGCAATTCACTCTGACCCATTATCTCTGGGTTGTAGTAGCATTAGTATCAACATCAATTGCATGCATGTTGGAGAAGGCAAAAGTTTTCAATAGCCATATGTTGTATGTGTAATTACACATTATTTATCTGGCCAATGTACTTAAATATCACAAGACAGTGATGTGTTAATGTTAAAGGTGCGTCCTATGACTATTAAATATTAAAAATTAAATTTAAAACTCTGTATGCCAGCATGGAAATGTCCATTTCCCCAACTCCCCTTCTCTATCGGATGTTATTAAACATTCTCATAATAAATTGCACAAAAGGATTTGATCATGGTAGCCAGAGTGGAGACCTAGTGCAAAACTATCTTTTTATGACCTGGTTTTAGGAGTACATCTGTAAGTTTTGTGTGTTTCATAAGGCTGAATTGAATGACTGAAGAGAAGGATTTAAGACTGAATGTATCTTACATGTAACAAAGTAAATATGATACAAGTATTTTTATTCTTACTAATGGAAGTTGTGTCCGATGGCTTGTGTTATACCTTGTTACGAAAGAATGAAGTACAAATGAGGTTTTGGTAGTTTTCCAGTAACACACAGCTAAGCCAAAGGGTTTTTTAACAGTTCGTCATCTAAAAGTAGCAATGTGACCCTTTTTCATTTGCTAAAGGAAAATATGAACCTGGGGGGGGATGGGACACCAAACCAACCCCTTTTAAAATAATATAACTTCTCATTGGAAAATGATCAAGACATACATATCCATCAACTTTTTGGTTCTAGTGAGGGAAAATAGTTTTCAGAAGAAAAACTGGAGTAGCTACTTTCCTTATAGGTGTTAAGTACTAGAAGACTTTTAAGGAAAATCTGCAGATGCTATACCATACAGAGGGAGGTATTCACAAAATGCTGATTCTAAGCAAATGAAGGCACATGAATAGTATAATAGTGACAGGTTACATAAACTATGCAGCTGGATTTAAAATACATTATTTAATATACGGTTTAAATTTAAAGAGTATTTAATATATGATTTAAAATATATTATTTAAATATTATGAAATGGTCAAATAAAGTGTATGTGTTTTATGGTGCTCGTTGTTAATTGCTTTTATGTTCCTTAGGATCTTTGATTATCTTTGAGAAATGTTGTTCTTTGTGAGAAATTTGCAGTAGTGGTAGTTAAAGAGGATCTAATGCCTGGTTTTTAATCACTTTCAGGTCCCTTGTAGCTAACCTCGCTGCTGCTAATTGCTATAAGAAGGAAAAGCATCTTGATTTGGAGAAGAACTGGAAGTTGGTGGAAAAAGCCAAAGTTTATTATATAGCAGTAAGTTCCACTTCTTTCAAATTGCTAAAACTTGTGTTACAACAATGTGAGGTTTAAGCAATGAGCATGTCTGTTGCATATGGTTTAAGATTATTTCGTAGGCATATAATGAAAGAAAATGACTGCTTCAATTTCAGCATGGTTTGATTTCTTTAAATTTAAATGTACAAATATAGAAGTATGTTTCAGTTTTATGCTTTCTTAAATTAGTGGGGGGAAAAAAATCACAAGAACTGAACATTTTCAGAGCTTTTGTGGTAGTTCATGTGGTGGATTGACCCCGGCTAGAGGTCAGGCACCCACCAAAGTTGCTCTATCACTCCCCATCCTCAACTGGACAGGGGAGGGAAAAATATAACAAGAAGCTTATGGGTCAAGATAAGGACAAGGAGAGATCAGTCAGCAATTACTGTCGCGGGCAAAACAGACTCGGCTTGGGGAAATTAGTTTAATTTATTGCCAATCAAAATCAGAGCAGGATAATGAGAAAGAAAACCAAATCTTAAAACACCTCCCCTCCCACCCCCCTTCCTGGGCTCAACTTTGCTCCCGATTTCTCTACCACCTCCCCGCAAGCGGCACAGCGGGACGGGGAATGGGGATTGTGGTCAGTTCATCACGTGTTCTCTGGCACTCCTTCCTCTTCAAGGGAAGGACGCGCACTCTTCCCCTGCTCCAGAGTGGGGTCCCTCCCATGGGAGACAGTTCTCCATGAATTTCTCCAATGTTGAGTCCTTCCCACAGGCTGCAGTTCTTCAGAAACTGCTCCAGTTTGGGTCACTTCCACAGGGTGCCGTCCTTCAGGAGCAAACTGCTCCAGCGTGGGTCCCCTACAGGGTCCTGCCAGCAGGGGTCACAAGTCCTGCCAGCAAACCTGCTCCAGCCTGGGCTCCTCTCTCCATGGGTCCACAGGTCCTGCCAGGAGCCTGCTCCACCGCGAGCCTCCCACGGGGGGACGGTCTCCTTTGGGTATCCCCCTGTTCTGGCATGGGGTCCTCCCCGGGCTGCAGGTGGAGATCTGCTCCAGTGTGGAGCTCCATGGCTGCAGGGGCACAGCCGGCCTCCCCGTGGTCTCCACCACAGGCTGCAGGGGAATCTTGGCTCTGGTGCCTGGAGCACCTCCTGCCCGGAGCACCTCCTGCCCTCCTCTTTCACTGACCTCGGGGTCTGCAGAGTTGTTTCTTTCACACATTCTCACTCTTGTCTCTGGCTGCAAATGCTGTGTGCCATTTTTTCTCCCCTTCTTGAATATGTTATCACAGAGGCACTACCACTGTCACTGATGGACTCAGCCTTGGCCAGCGGCAGGTCCCTCTTGGAGCCGGCTGGCATTGGCTCAATTGGACCCAGGGGAAGCTTCTAGCAGCTTCTCACAGAAGCCACCCCTGCAACCCCCACTGCTACCAAAACCTTGCCACGCAAACCCAATACAGTGCATCAAATTTACATTTCACATTTTCTAGTAAATTGTTGTGAAGGATGCACAAATTATGTAGAAAAACACTATTAGCATAATTATTCACTGCAAACAGTTTGAGCTTATTTGTGTGAACAATCTTAATTGCTATTTATTCCATAGTAATTACTACAGCACCTTATAACTCAATATTTCAGAAACAATGATTGTGACAAATCTTTTGAATGTGGGCGGTGGAGAAAACTGATTTTAATGACGAAATCTTACTTCTGGAATAAGGGGGTTTTAAGGATGGGGCATTAGTAGATTCACAGTTAGTATTCTTTTTTTACCATTTAGAATGAATCAAGCTAGATTAGTGTACTTGTGTAAATTACATCTTGCTTAAAAGAAGTGGTGTATTTGTTTTCCTCTTGCTCTCAAGTTGGTATGACTGATCAAAATTAGCAAACATAAAACATCTATGACAGATTAAAACCTCATAACATGCATGTAATATATGGCTTCAGTATGACAGCTGCTTCCATTCTGCTACCTGAGCTATGTGGGAATGGCTGGTAAAAAGTGTAAAAAATTGATTATCCAGAAGGAACACGTTCATTGAAAATACAGTTATTTCTTTTAGCTAGTGTTAATGTCTCCTACAGCCTGTTAGCTTGCACTGCTGTAGGCTTTACATGGTTGTTATTGATTCTTGTGTATGGCCAAGGCTGCCCCTTTATAACTGTCAACAAATACTTATAACCTTCTCAGTATACAAAGAAAACACATCCCAGTGCTATGACTGTATGTTTGTGCTGCGTTTAAAAAAATACATACAGGTATGTAGACAATAGGTGTGTTGTCTACTTGTTTTTTATTTCTGTTTTTCAAGTGTTCTGAGTTTCTATTTCCCAATAATTATACCTCAGTCTGTTCCAAGGGCCATGCTTAGGAATTAATGCTATTGGCTAAAAAAATATTGAAAGGCCAAGAGTATAGTTTAAATAAAGAAGAAGAATGACAAATGTTACCAAAAGCTATACTGCACTAAGTTTATTTTTTTAATTTTACTATGCTTATATATAATTACCAGTGAAGCTTACAATATACAATTTAGAAAAATTAAACTTAGTGGAGATGTTTCAGGAAAAGTGGGAAATGTTACATGAGGTGAAAAACAGGTTTGAGTTTTTTAAGATATAGCCTTCATCTTACTTTAGTTCTAAAGCCACTCTTTTGTGCTCAGTCAGTTTGATCACTTAAATTTTGACTAGATGATTCACTACAATGATTTTCATGTATGTTAAAAGCTGTTCTTCAGATGCCATTTCTATGACATCCAAGCTTCGACTAAGAGACAGAGAACTATTGTACTAAACTGAAAATAAAACCCAAGATAAGTAAATAATACTGAAGTGCTAATAAATTATATTAAATATTTGCAAAATGGAATTCAGATAAGGGAAACATCTGATAGCAGAAGGAAATCTTTTGGGTAAAGAACCTGTTTCACACGTGTAGCAAAAGCACTCAAGGATGCGTTCATCTAAGGGATTTCTAGGACAGTGTTACCACTTGAGATTACAGATTGCATGTGTAACTTTAACGAAAGGAGACAATGTGTAGAACTGTACACGTTCCCTGATGTTATATTTATGCCCTTTTCTTTCATTTAGCTTCTTTACTTGCAGGTTTGTAGCGGTTTACAAGTTTAAACAAAACCATGTAATGAACAATTACCACTGCTGAGGTATGGGATAGCTCTCAGAGTCATTAATTTGCCCACTGTTGTCTGTCTTCACTTTAGTCTTGTTACCTTCCTTGGCTATGCAGTGTGCATATGTTGCTTTTCATTTCCTTCTTTCTATCCAATGGTCACCTATTCCTGGCATTGCGTTAGAATGTATGTTAGTGACAGATACTTATTCTGGAAACCTGTGTCCTGAGATCATCAAACAATCTCGTTTCTTGGCAGAGCAGGGCAGTTGCTGCTTTAGGACAGGTCTGTGATATCCTGTGGTCATCTGTATGTGCTTCCTAGAATAGATAATATGCTTTTCAATGCAGCATTCAGCAGAATGGCCCTCAGGTGAAACTTAGCTCTGAAATCTAATCAATTCACAGAGGGCGGAGTTGGTACAAAGGAAAATATAGTGAAGCCTTGACACAACCCTTGAAGACAACTTCTGTTACCATGAATTAACACAATACATCTATTTTAGCCATCTGGTAATCAGATCCAGCAGATAAATTGAAGAAAGACTAGCAAAGAATAGGACCCTGTAAATCACAGATATAAGCAAAACGCAGAGGCTGCCTCAGCTTTCTCAAAGATGGTAAACTTTAAAGATATATTTTAATACTTTAAAATTACTCTACTTTGTATCATTTAAGATAGATTGCATGTACTGTCAAACTCTGTGCAATTTCTTTCCCTTTTCCAAATATAATTCATATAGCAGTAATTTCTACCATTGACATCTTCTACATCTTCCAGTCTGTCATATTCATTTTGCTGTGGATCAGCTAGCTGTGCTGCTAGTGTCTGATTAGAATTCACTGTGAGGGATTTTATTTGGTTCCTACTGGGGCCAGAAAAATGTCTCTGCCTCAGACATTTCCTTCATTTCAGAATAAGTTTGCACAGTGCAAAACCGAGGAAGGTAACAAGACTAAAGTGAAGACGGACAACAGTGAGAGAGTTATGTCATGACATGTGAATGGGACACAAGCTGACATGAAAATAATCTTAAACTGTGTTTTGTGTGGGTTTGTGGTTTTTTTCATTTTTTTTATTCTTTCTTTCTTTCTGTGAATCTGTGCTTTCTGTCAGGACTTTCATTTTAGAATTCTTAATGTGTCTTTTTTTCTTGCAAATTCTTACTAACTTGGGTGATAAAACTCCATATTTGGGCACCTTGCTTGTCTTCTTTTCAGAGGCATTTAATAAACTGATGGTAGTACTGTATTTATGTAGGCATCTCTTAGAATTCTATAACATGTATTGGGTTGTGGGGGTCTTGGGGCGGTTTTGTTCAGATCATCAGTGTCCTTAGTGCCAAGTGAAATCTGGAAGTTCTTGGTGCTCTGTTTCTTTGACACTGCACACAAACATATGAACATTTTTGAGGCAACTTGCAGTATATAGCTATTAATTTTCTTATCTTATGAAGGCCTGGAATGCAAAGATATGTTTATTGTCAATGTTTTTGATTTAAAAAAAAAATCTGCTGATAAGAGTTTTAGGAGAGCAGAAAAGCTGAGGAGAATTTTAGTTGTCATTTGACTCCAGTCAGCACCTCCATGTTACTGTATGTAAGTAAGGAATTTTGCACTTGTCCTTTCATAATGAGAATAAAATGGAAAAGGAGAAAATGCTTTCCTTCATTAATATCTGGGCTTAACCTTGTTAAGTCTTAACATCTTAAGATGTTAAGAAATCTTAACTGTGTAACAACTGATACTGCTTGCTTACACAGGCAGCTGCATTTTAACTTTCTGCCTATAGCTGAACATTATTGCCACCAGTGTGGTGCTTCCCAGATCTGTTATCTCTTGTTATCTCTTGTTCCAGTTAGACATCCTTTTTTTTGCCAGTTAT